CTTGCATGTGTTCCTGTAGCCTTAAGAATACTCATGCAGAATACAGTTAAGATTTTGTTTAACAGTGCTTGCATTAGATGAAGCTGAAATTTTTTTTTTTTTTGGCAGTAGGTTTTAAATGGGCATTTACTTAAGTTTTGCAACTGTTTTAAAGATTTTCCTTTGCTTGGTGGAGCTAAATCAGACTTGATGAAAGATTCATTAAGAGCTATTTTAGGTTTTACAAAGGAAACTCAAAAGATTGAAACAGACTGTTCTACACCAGACAAAAATTTAAATTTAAATTAAGTTTAAATTTAGATGTTTGTTTGCAGGATATGTTTGCTACATATTAGCTATCATATTCAACCAGCAGAACAAATCAGCAAGCCTGAATCTGCCCGTAAGAATAAAAATTATAACCCTAAATATCATTACAATATCATTATCACACAGTATTTTTACTGCAAAATGGAAACGTCAGGAATCTCTAGTAAACGGGTAATCCCATAGTTATACAATGGCCAAAGAGTGATGGTTTTCCAACATTGTCTTTGGAAAACAATCCTGAACCACACACAGCTTCCTGAAGAGATCTGTGGAGGAAGGGGGCAGGGGAGAAGGAAGCAATAGTCACTTCTACACAAAATGTCCCCTTTACTAAAGCAGGTTTCATATAGTACCAAATTCACCTCCCCCAAAAAACTTAATACAACAATGCAAGGACACTTGGTGAAATTACTTCATTGCATGCAAGTGGTAAAACCCAGGTGCAGACACTCAGCATTCTCCCTCTGCAAGACTGAACTAATTCTGCAGCAACACAGCACAGCAAAAATTCAAGTTTGACTCAAAAATGGCAGGAAAAGGAACATCACCAGAAGTATTACAGTTTCTTGTGGTTTTTGGGGGGGTGGGGTTTTTTCTTGTTTGGTTGGTGGTTTTTTTGTTTGTTTGTTTTTAAGAATGTAACTATATCTTGACAGTGATAGTTTGGAGAACCATTCCCTCCTTTATAACCATGGAAAATGCATGTAACAAATTGCAGAGTTAAGATCAGAAAAACCATGCATGCCCTTCTTCTCTTAAATGCCTATAATCTTTTTAAATTTCCTTTTGTTTCTCATTTCATATTTTGCCCATCAAATGTTCTGTCCCTGTCCTGATTTCATATTTCTTTGTTACCTGTTCTTTCTCTGGTCCCACACAATTTTTTGATACTCAGTTTCTCTCTGCCATGTAGCCCTAGTGCCTGGTTCCTTTCTCCGCACTTACAAGGATTTAGCAGATCCTTCTTCCTTTAGTGGCTGGTAGCTCTGGTTGATTTAGCCAGTGACTCTTCCCTTAGGGTATTTCTTGATTCCTCTATTCTGTTTATGCACTAACAAATCCACTTAGAAAAAAAAATTGTCTTTAAAAAGAGAAGGTAAACTCCCTTTGGAAAGAATTGCGCATCTGTGAAAGCAGATAAAAACTTCAGCTCAATATAAACGTGAAATATTCAACTGCTCAGTGAGAAAACAAAAGCACAGGCCCAAGGATCTCAAACCGGCCACCTGAAAACTAGAGGTCACATTGTAAAATTTGGCATTCAGCTTACTTGGAAAATGAACATACTACTTGCATAGCTGATCTATTTCAAAAATCTTACGTTTTTAAAGAATTTATGTAACTTCTAAAGGAAGACTAAGAATTCAGACCACTACTATTAAACTTCTAAATTAAGCTTATAAATTACTGCGTCATCATTAGAAACACTGTATAGCTTCATATTTCACCACAGTTAGGAGAGAAATAAAGACAACAGAACTCTGGGTCATATCTAGTTCCTCAAATGTTTTAAATGAGAGAATAACCTTGAATAAAAGTCAAAGACTATCCACTTGTACCTTAAACCATCTTCCAAAACCAATCACTATCCAACAGGTTATCTCTGCCAAGAAGCCTATTTTCCATACACCAATAGTGATGGGTTCTTCTTTCAGTAGTCAAACATCAACTTTGTTTTTAATTTAGCAAGTTTCCTCTTTTCAGAGATATGAGGAGGCTTACATTATGTAATGCCAATCAAGAAAGCTTGTCTATATCGTGACAAGATAATTATTTTTTAAATTCAGCCCTAAAAAGTATGTAGACAATAATACTTCTTAATAACAATTTGGTTTTGACTCTGCTTGCTCCAGCTTTTTGAAGGGAAAAGCACTTTCAGTTTCAGTGCTATTAAAAAAAAAAATAAAGGCATATCATCTGTCACATGGGCATTGCAGATTTTACTAAATTGGTTCAGTTCCTCTTCAGTTTACTGTATTGCAATCTTCTCTCCCCAGATTAAAGGGAAAAGATACCTTCCCTACCTTTTTTTAATTAAAAAAAAAAAAAAAAACACAACAGAAGAAATACTAACATAAATATATTAGGAAAAACAAACAAGGTGGGCAACATGTATTCCCATTTTGGCAAATACAAGTAGAATACAGGTGGCAGAGAAAACACAGTTTTTATAAACAGAACGAATCTGAACTTTTCATCCAAACATTTGAAAGTACTTACACATAGGTGACTTAAACCTGTCACAACTAGCTATGAAGTATATGTTCAAAATATATAGGGATAAAATGCATTGTGTGTAGTCATCTCTGGAATGCAAGGGACCAGAACCTGAAGTGAACAATGTTAATTAACATCTGGAAGAAACAGTAAGTAGTATTCAGAGAAGCAGATTTGTGTCTTTAAAATCATATTTTTACCTAAACACTACGATTTGCAGCCCTCCCACTGTTGTTTTATGGTGACAGAATCCTTAACAACTGAAGAAACTGTTAGGATTTCATTTTCATACATCCATCCAGAGGACAAAAAAAAGACAGTTTACTAAAAGACAGCATTCTACAAAAATGAACCTGAAGGTAGATACTTTAATCTAGTTTTCATCCTCAACCAATACACCAATCATGTATGATAACAGTTGGCAAGACATCTTCAAGGAAAAAGTAATCTAAGGTCAGCTCATGAAAGCAAGCTTTTACTCGATGAGTGTTACTGAACCTTCTTTGGCTGCTGATAGCATCGTTGCTGTAAAGAAGCTTAGAAACTTCAAGCTCAGCACTGAAATAATGATTCAAAACATGGAATTCGTACAATAAACTTCATTCATACAGTGTAAGGGGGCAGACAAATGCACAAAAGCATGGTAAGATTGCAGTATTCCAGCAGCCCTCTTCTCAAGGGCATTTGAAGTATGCTTTACTGGTTCTACAGTCACCAAGACAGGTAAAAAGCCCAAGAAATTCATTCATGACTCCAGGCGTTTCAAAGCACCAGTCCATCTTTAAACTTCTCTTTACTCATGAAAGATATCTGTCTAAGGCTCAGTAACCCAACAGTTACATGAAGCAGCACTGGATGTCCTTTCAGCCAGCATCAGACACCAGTAAGGGAACTACGGCCTATTACTTAACCTTCTATGGCCAGGGAGTTCATGATTCCCCCTCAGTGTTTTTATTGGATAAAATTGTATTGTATGATAACACAAAGCTCTCCACAGTGTCTGAAATACCTACTCAGCCCCAGCAAGGAAGCTGCGCTGTTTATATAGCATTTTACATTCTTTTTCAATTGCACTTGTATTTAATAACAACAAGAATAAAAATTTACACTTTGTAGCCAATATTTATATTTTCCATTTGGCAGTTCTGATATTTTTTCATACCAAGTAGAGATAAAACCAACTTGGCAGACTGCATTTATCAATATTTCATCTGCTAAACCATTTCAGTTGGAAAACCAACTGTATTATCAACAGTTCTAAGAAGCATGCTTCTAAGTGTATTATGAGAGAAACTCACAAAGAACACAAAACCAAAATAAGCAAGTAAGACAATATAAGGGGGGCGTGGAGGGGGGGACACGACCCCAACAGTTCAGCATTTAAAGGTTTGTTATTTGTAATCCCTAAAATGGAAGTTTATCTAGTCCTGAGTACTTTAGAAAAACAACTTTATTTTTTAAACACTACATACACTTCCCAAGTTCCCAAAACCTCTTCCACACTACTGCACCAACAAGGAAATGGAGCACAGTCAAGAATTTCACCTATCGTTCTAGTAATTGCCAAATTTGATATTTTTCAAATATTGACTCCCAAAAGTAAAACAATCCCATACTCATCACTACCAGAAACACAAATTTCACAGGACTAGCTCAGTCTTAAGTGATACTTTCTGTGAAAAACACCACAATTATACAGGTTGAAACTTCAGGAACAGTTGTACTGACAACAGACAAAAATGAAATTATACCATTCTGAAGACAAAACAGCAGTAAAATCTTATTTCAATGCTGACATATGTGATCACATGCATGCTTAGTGAAATCTTTGGATAGCTTTGCTGTGCATGATATTTATTTGTAGTAGATTTAATAATTCCTTATTAACAAAAATTTGTAATCATATCCTATTTTAAAATACCAAATCTTTCAACCTTCCTTCTTAATCAGTCAAACCTTGGATCTTCAAGCTAGGAGGAGTCTCCATTAGTTATAAGAGATTTCTGATGCTTTATCAAGGAAAAGTGCTCAGAACAATATAGTATAAGTAAAATTTACTACCATTATTTAAAGATGTGATTATTTCCCTGTTGATCCTCTCAGCAGGATCACCTCAACACTCCTCCTTTCACTTCAGAGCCTTCTCCCTTTAGAACCTGATCCCCCAGCCCCCACCAAAAAGAACCTCATTGCTAAGCCAGAGTCCTCAGATCATCACAATTAATGATCACTACCAAAGTTAACATATGTAATGAAAGCATGCATTAGTTGACAAAAAAGGCTATTGCAGTTCTACTACATCTACTTAAGACAAAATGATGAGTACTGTGGTATTACAAACAAAATAAGAAAAAGATACGGGCAGAAAAGAAAATTAAATTTTATGTACCCTATGTCTCAATCTCTTCCTGTAGATGTGATTATAAAGGACAAAACAGGATGGAAACACAGACAAAAAGAACAGCATCTCTTACCATTTCCTGAGATGCATACTTTGGATCTTCGGGATCAACTGACCAGTAGCAGTAATCAAAGCTGAAGGCCACAATCTTTTCTCTCGAGTCCCAAGTGCTATCAAGCCTACTGTCAACCTGATAACAGAAGGAAAATGACAGAAAAACCAATTCACTTTGAAGCTGACCAAAAAATAAGCATTTTAAAACTAACAGGAAGTTTATCTAGGATCTGTATTGTGGAAAAGGAATGGCAAATAGTTTATCCTCTTTATTCAATTCTCTTTGATGCTGAGAGTGAGGCAGAGACATACATGACAGACCTGCTGAAGCATTTTTGCTGAAGAATTCATTTACTACAACTAAGGTTCTCCAGGCTGTGTACAATAAACATAATTTAGTTAATCTTCACAACAGCTACATATTGGCAGAAAAGCTCTGCAACCGTTTTGATACTTCTCCACCATTATTCTGTTTCACTGAGAACCACATCACAGAAATGAGGCCCCAAGTGAGAAAACAAACCCAATTTTCTCACTGCATAGTTGAAAATGCAGGTCTCTTCCCCTATTTCTCCTTTGCTTTGCCATGGTTGCAAGCTAACGTTTCTGTCACTGGGACTGCACACTATAAACCTAACCTTTACAGGTTATTAACAATGACAGTGAAGCCTTTCTAGCATAATAGTCAGAAATGGTGACTGAAATTAAGGGAATTGTGCAAATCTTTCTGTATAATCTTGCCCAAGTGATTTGTAATAAAACAGATAAGCTTATGAACAAGGAACTACGCATTGTTGCTCTACTCATCAAAGGAGGAGAGTAACAAGTCAAAACATTACACAAAATTAACACCATCCACATGTAATTTTGACCTAATCGGTAACTTTATTGTAACCTTGACATTTGCGAAAACATAAGCAGAAAAAACGGTTCATTATAATTCGATACCTAAACAAACTGCTTCACTAATGGCCCCCAAAACTAGGGGTGTCAGTGCTGTCTGCCAGATTACTGGATAAAGGGCACTGTAAGCACTGAACTCTGCCACCAGCTGTGAAGTTTACAGGGAAAATTAATTTACAGGCCCATCTGACAGGTTTGTGGGTTTGGGGTTTTTTTTTAAACCAAGAAAGAGCAAAGCAAAATAGGACAGAAATAATTTTAGATTATCACTGAAGTAAAGGGGTTTCATCCATTTTAAACCCTGCATGATTCTAAAGTTATCACATTGAATTAAGTACAACCAAGGTTTCCTTTAGTCAGAAATAACATCTTGACAAACCTATTGATCATCTTCAATAATAGTATTTTGAACATGTCATGATTCAGAGATTTTTATGCAATTACCTTTTATTTTCTTAGGTTTTCTGCAGCAATAAGCAGAAGATAGTTTGGAGCACTGCCTTCCTATTGCAACATGTAAAAATAAAAAAAATACCCCTCCACCTCAGGGACAGCAGTCCCTGGTCACAGAGGTGATTACCCTTCCGGCAATAAGGGGTTTGTTCTCAACTACAAAGTGCACCTACCCCAGACACAACAACGTGAACATTAGTGTGTAAGTATTAATTTATACACTAACTTGGATTCATCAATGGCTGTCTAAATTTAGTTTATGCATAAAGCAAACTCAGTCCCTTCACAAAACTCACCAATTACGAAACCTCAAGAGAGAAAACACCCACAAGCCAGCCCTTGCGTCTCCAAATAACCCTTCTCTGCCTACTTTGAGCAGTCGGCCCCGCTGCTGTGGTTTCCCAAGTATCCCAAGGCAGCCCACAGCTCCTCTTTAAACAAATAAAATAGAAAACCCTCTAGGTCTAACAAGGCTCAGCTGGACCCCATTAGGCAGCTGCCTGACTGAGGACTCCACCTGCTGAGGGAGGCTCCCCCAGCGGGGGCAGGCAGCCTCAGGGGCCCAAATCCTCACAGCCATGTCCCAGGGACCAAAGCCTTCCCGAGGACAACCACCAGGAACAGACAGCATCACACCCAGAGGTCAAGTGTCTCTTTGAGAGCTTTGTCGCATGTACAAGGAATTGGGGAAAATTATTTCAGAAGGTAGTGAGAGTCTCAAACTCTGCAAATACAGCCTTTGAAAAGGAAATACACAGAAAATAAGCAACATTTTACATCCATGAGACCTCTCATACCACTAGTATTTTTCCCTCTTCTTTCTTCAGAAATGAGCACCTGAAGTCAATACAAGAATAATTATAATGGAAAAGGGTAAATAGTTCAAATCCTTTCATTCAATTTTTGCCAAGGTTTCTCTTCAAAACCTAATGTATTGTTTCTCTTGAATGAGCCATCTAAAATAACTGGGTTGCTTGCAGATATAAAGAAAAAGAAGACAAGAAATACAAAATGCATCCATCCTCGAGGATCCCCACAGTAATCTCATGGTTCATTTATTTGCCTTTTGAGCAGAATCATGTTTGACAACACAAAATTGCTTTGCTCCATTCTATTAACTTTGTGAAGGACCATGGCAGCTTTAAGTAGTTCAAGAGTCTAAACCAGAGGGCTGGTTCCCATGCACGCTGGCTCCAGCACTCTTGGAGGACGACAGCTACATTCAGTTTATTCTTATAGCTCTTCGTCTTTTACCAAGGCCTAAAGTGTAGCTGAACACATTTTGCTTCATTTCATGCAAGTCAGTTGCACTCTGAGTGCAAATATGAGCAGAGGAGAGACACAGGGAAAGAAATTATCCAGATGTTAGTAAGATAAGCACAAAGTCCTAAACAATTTACTAACAGCTTTGAATGATGGCGTGCAGCCAGATTGCAGAAGCTTTGACAAATATAAAATACAGAAAACACAACTACATGTTACATCCCCTGTCAAAAGAAAAAACCCACCACACAAACAAACCCCGAACCAAAACAATCCTCCCCACCCCCCTTTTGCTGCAATTATTCTAGATCTGTGCTGGTTTAAACTTCTCCCTTAATATTTCTATTAGAATGATCCAATAGCCAAGCAAACATAGAAAAGCATGAGAATATCAGGATTCTTATATGAGAAAGAGAAGACGACAAAAAGCATACCTTTATATTCCTCACTTTTGCCACTTTGTCATCAACTTCTACAATCACTCTTCCTCCTTCTGCACTCTCTCTGGAAACAGAATACATTAAAAAAAATCCATTTAAATATGAAGACACAAAAAGGTGCATGTCAAATTCGTAAAACCCAGAAATTTGTGTTTACTTTAACAAACTGCAAATTAGAGCTATAAACCAGCTACTTTTGCTTATAGACACTGTGACATAAAGCAGCATTTACAGATCTGCAGCCAGGTATCTCGGAGGGGGGGGAGGGGAGAATGGGGGACGACACAGGACTGCAGTGATTAAACAGTTTCAAAGTGCTTGTCCTAAATACTTTGTTAGGATTTTATTTCTGATTAAGAGTTGTTTTAAATTACATTTACAAGGAAGTAGAGTGGAGCACTGGTAGACTGGCTATGCTTCGTGGAGTACTGATCCACGTCACAGACTTGTGTGCCACAAGTGTCATCAGGTCACACTGTCTGATTTTTACCACATAATCCAAAGTGTTTGTTGTAGTCCTCATAAAAGTACTCTTCAGAAAAGCAAAACTGTCCTGAAATGTAAATGGGCAGGATTGTTCCCCAAGTGCAAAGGACCATGCACTCACTTATACTGTCTAAAATTCCCACTGAACACAGCTATGAGTGGCTACCACAGCCAACTTCCACTTCCAAAATGAGTCATATTAGAAAAGAATGAAAAAAGGATGTCACCAAAGCAAAAAAAAAAAGCATATTTCTGGGCCGACAGCATGATAGCTACTTGAAGTTAAGGATGTTCTTATTTATAGGTGTGTTGATTCACGTCCCCCTCAATAATTATCATGGATTTTTTTATACGCAGCAAGATAGAAATGAGGAAGAAGATGTCAGTGGCCTACTTCTGACAGCAGAAAATTAAACGAACACTTTGGTACTGAGAAGCTAAGAACAGGAGAAAGCTTTTTTTTCCTTTTTATTTCTTCTATGGGTTTTTTTTGCACTCTGATACCGACAAATCTTGTAAGCTGCAATTTTGTCAGAAAGTTTTATTTTGATGAAGCCTAATGCCTTTGTAAAGCTGGAAGAAATTGGTTTAGAAATAAAATCAATTTTGTCCTTAGTGCAGTTTTGTCACACTTTGTTTAAAATTAAGCTGAAGGCATAGACGCTGTCATTTGAGATTAACTGTATATGTATCCCCTGATAATCAGCTGGATCAGTATCCTCAGGTCAGTTAAAAACCAGATAAGATAAAACAAGAGTTAGAAAATTCAAACCCAGTTGACCACCGTTCATTCATGGCCCTAGATCTGTCTTTTAACAGATTTCCTTACATGTGTACAGACGTATTTACTCCCCCACTAATTACAATCCCCTTGCACTGACAGCTCTAACTTCCAGGCAGCACATAGCACATGTCCTGCCTCTGGGGTCTCTCCTCTCCAGTTCTCACGCATTACCCCACGCATTCTGTACCAAAACAACATTCAAAACAATGCCTTAGGACACTTAAGACTTCCACAGAGACAATCGCTGTGGCATTTGAGCTTTACAAGCATAAAGAAGTTTTAAATTCATTTCTGAGCATAGGCTATCCCTGTTTTGCAGGTAGAGATAATGCTTTACCTTAAAGTCTCTGTGCTTCACGTTACTAATTTTGAGCACCTGCCTTGAGACAAACTGAACTTAGTACTTTCTGTAATACATACTTATACAAGGCACTTCACATAGCAATACAAACACTGCTCCCAGAGGTTTTAGTTAAGCTGTGAGTGTTCAGCAGTTCAACACATCAGTCACTAGATCCCCGAGTTAGGCCCCAGGAGAAAGAGGAACACTCAGAGGAGAAAGAATTTGCATTATGCACAGCTGAGTACTGAACAGAGGCCTCATAAGGCTCCCTAAAGAACAAATGAAGGAGGAAAAGTGCCTAAGGATACAGGCTGTGAGTATTTAAGGTAGAAATTTGCAACTGATGCATTTAATCTGGACATGTGCAATTCTGTAGATGTTTTGAAAAGCAAGTGTTTTCCAATACAAGTAAGTTTGGGGACTTGCATATCCACATACAAACCTCAGCCAGGTGAGCTAATGGACAAAGCTGGCAGTTGCCCTGTACAGCACACTGGATCTAAGAGGAAGTGGGACATTTTGACAGAGAATTTCACAAGAACTTACGAACAGCAGAAGACAGACAAACCCAGAGGGATCCTTCAGGAGGGAGCTTGCTTCAGTTATATATACTGTTTCCTCCACTGCCGCATTAAGATCTTGGCTCTATCCTGCTTCTAAACCTCATGAACATTCCCTATTTTTCAGTCCTACTGTTAACCCTCCAGCCTTACCACCCTAGTTACAGTTCACTGAGTTCCCGTCCTCCTCTCCCTATACACACACATGATCTCTCACAGGTACCTGCTATCTGTTCTCTCTGACATCTTGTCCGTGGGCCCACGTTCAATTTTAGTGCCTTCAACTGCTCTGCAGGTCTCGTCTCCCTTCTCCTACTGCATTGTAGCTGGTTTTAGGCCTATCTCTCTGCTCCAGAGGTACATGATCTTACTCTCAGCAGCTCTTCCACTTCCTATCCCAAGTTTACTTGTACACTCCACAATTAAATCAGTGTTTCTTCCTGGACACCAGCTGGGGTCAGCAAACAGATTATTGAGAATAAATGGGACAGAAGACCTTGGTCTCAGTTCCTATACCTGGGTTTCAATTGTGACTTGGACAACACTGAGCTCAATTTATCAAGGCGGTGCTCAGCTGATGAGTTTTTTGACTAACAGGGATGCTGCAAGCACAATTTGGTCAACACTAGAGGATACAAGCTCAGATGCACTCAGAGAAAGCAGATCCCTTAAAACTTTTATCTGCTATGTTCTTACAAGTCTTCACTGAGCATGTTACAGAATTTCAGTTATTTAGAACTTGGTCAGAAATGGGTAGATTCAGATGGGGAATTAAAAAAAAATGCACACCAGATTTCCAGTTTTAAATAAATTGGGAAATTCAAATAAAAAGTCACTCTAAGTTGCTCTTAAATATTTTAAAAACTAATTTTCCCTTAACCTCATCTTCTGTAGCAGCTGAACTGTTCTGGACAAAGCTTAAAAATAATTACAAATATCTAGCCTGAGGCAGGTATTAATGAATGGAAGATTCTACCCAAATGGTTGAAATCTGGCAAAGCTTTTAATAGTTTTAAATACCAGGATATTCTAATTGCAGACATAAAGCAACCTCAACAAGAAGCAGTGCTCTCAACCCCACCTATAATAATTACATCAAACTCACTGCCTTCAGTCCACATGCATTATATACTTATATTAAAATAAATACAAACACAGTAAAATACAAACCACACAAAATTACCCCACCACCTTTTACCACAGGGTAGCAAGGATTCCTCACTACGCAGACAAAAAGCTCTATGCAGCAGCTAAATATCTTTGTTCAAGTCTTACAAGACAAGAAAGCAAACAGGGAGAGAACTAAAGTCTCCCCTTGCTCTGGGTGCAGATTCGCAAGCACCCAGACTTTTATATTCACTGCAAGCTGTTGCTGCAAGAGGCAATTTCTCTTTGCTCTTCCAGCCTCCCACATGTGCTCCCACTTGTTTTCCTGCATCTGATCTAGCAATCACACCCCCATGCAATGACTCAGATCAGCTGTGATCATAAAACAAACACACCAAAATAAATAAGCAAAGTGCCACAGGACCAGCCAGCCCTTCCAGAGCACTAAGCACAGTGGTCACACGGTTGCTAAGCCAAAGCAAGAGAAAAGGCAGGAACACGCCGTGGTGGGAATGGAGACCCCTCCCTTCTGCAGCAGCTTACAGCCAGAGAGCATTGCGCATAAACAAAACTGGACCTGCAGCCATCCCTAGCTCTACGAACCATACATTCAACCTCCCTCTAAACACGTGTTTATATCGTGCTTCATTTAGGTACAAACCAGAGAACGTTGGGAGAAAAAGCACGGTTTAATATAATACCTAAAGCCCAGGAGGCAAAGCAGACTCCCAGCTGTTCTAGAAGTTCTGACCTTAACTCCAGGTAGCAAACGCTACAAGAGCTCTCTCAGCAAAACCTGTGTTTGTCAGTACAGTCTTACACCTATGTGCACCACAGTTTGCATGTGACTGATAAAACAATCCTTCATCCCTAGGAATGGGTGTTCTGCTCCACAGGTATGAAAGCTGTATTCCTTGTACCAATAAAATCAACTCCAAAGTGCACTTCTCTAGTAACACATTTGACTTCCGCTGCTCAGAAGTCACAGTGATCCTAACATTTAGTTTCCCCATTCTCCCTTCTTCCCCACTTCTTGAAAAAAAATCATGCTGTGTTTGGGAAACGCCTCTCTCCTTCTAAATTACTGTGCATGAAAACAAGTTCTCTGTACAAAATAGAGCTGTAGAAAGACCATTTAATGGCACATGTCCCAGGAAAGACCTGGATCTTCTCAGACACAGAAAGGTTTAGAGAAATGCAGACCCAGCAATAGAACAGTGACACAAGTACAGAACGCAGTGGCAGGGCTGTAATGGGCAGCTACAAGACAGACCTGACAGAAGCAAAGCTGCTGTGGCAGTCCAAAAAACAGGGGCAGCCCGAAGGAAACCTCCTCATATCATTAGCTGTTCTACAGCTAATCATTTCTGCAGCCAACATGTGAAGCTAATGCAAGCCCAGAGAGACAACAGACACTCTGCAAGATGTAGAAGAACGAGCCAGCGGAAAAGAATCACAGGAGGATCAAGACCCTTGAGAAAGACATTTCCATGGCTTGCTGCATCTCACTGGGATGACTTCAGAGAGAGAGTACAGAAGAAGTGCAAGGAGGTATGCAGAGCTGGAGGAAGCAGTGGGTGGAAAGAAAGGGGGCAGTTGTTTATTTTAGACTTTATAAAATTTGCCCCACTTCTGCACCCTCTCAAATAACAGTCAGGCACTTGGAGAAGAAAGGAACTGACTTTTAAAAAGTTGCCCGTTTATTTTAAAAATATGTACATGCAATTAAGCAAAAATACTGGCTTCATTAGCAGTAGTCACGTCATACAACAAAACAGCTTCTA